GTTGGTCATCAATACCTTTAAAAAAGTAGGGGCATGGATCAGAAAACCAGTCAGTATCTAGTGTGCCTACCAGTTGCCTCATATAGTGCGACAAATCTAATTTGCATAGAGTTGATCAGGCTGTTGATTATGGCCTGTGGAATGTTGTCCCACTCCTCTTCAATGGCTGTGTTAAGTTGCTGGATATTGGCGGGAACTGGAACACGCTGTCGTACACGTCAATCCAGAGCATCCCAAACATGCTCAGTGGGTGACAGGTCTTGTGTACAAATCCTTGTGACACGGGGCCGTGCATTATCATGCTAAAACATGAAGTGATGGCGGCGGATGAATGGCACGACAATGGGCCTCAGGATCCCGTCACGGTATCTCTGTGCATGCAAATTGCCATCAATAAAATGCAATTGTGTTCGTTGTCCGTAGCTTATGCCTGCCCATACTATAACCCCAACGCCACCTGTTCACAACGTTGACATCAGCAAACCGCTCGCCCACACAACGCCATAAACAATGTCTGCCATCTGCCTGGCACAGTTGAAAACCAGGATTAATCCGTGAAGAGCACACTTCTCCAGCATGCCAGTGGCCATCGAAGTTGAGCTTTTGTCCACTGAAGTTGGTTACGGCGCCGACCTGCAGTCAGGTCAAGACCCTGGTGAGGACGACGAGCACGCAGATGAGCTTCCCCGAGACGGTTTCTGACAGATTCTGCAGAAATTATTTGGTTGTGCAAACCCACAGTTTCATCAGCTGTCCGGGTGGCTGGTCTCAGACGATCCCGCAGGTGAGGAAGCCAGATGTGGAAGTCCTGGGCTGGCGTGGTTACACGTAGTCTGCGATTGTGAGGCCAGTTGGACGTACTACCAAATTCTCTAAAACGACATTGGAGGCAGCTTATGGTGGAGAAATTAACATTCAATTCTCTGGCAACAGCTCTGGTGGAAATTCCTGCAGTCAGCATGCCAATTGCATGCTCCCTCAAAATTTGAGACATCTGTGGCTTTGTGTTGAGAGTGCCCTTTTATTGTCCCCAGCGGAAGGTGCACCTGTGTAATGATCATGCTGTTTAATCAGCTTCTTGATGTGCCACACCTGTCAGGTGGATGGATTATCTTGGTAATGGAGAAATTCTCACTAACAGCGATATAAACTATTTTTAGCAACAAATTTGAGGGACATTTTGTTTTTTTTGTGTATGGAAAATGTCTGGGATCTTTTATTTCATGAATCATGGGACCAACACTTTAAATGTTGCATTTATATTTTTGTTCAGTGGCAGTTATTGCATTTTTATCAATTTTTATTTTGTGTAGATAGTTGACAAAAAAATGACAATTACATTTGAATCCCACTTTGTAACACAATAAAATGTTAAGAAATCCAAGGGGTTCTGAATACTTTTGCAAGGCACTGTATACGCTGTGGCAGTAGACAATCACAATGATATACACCTCCCTATCATGACTATCATCAAACATCCCCCCGGATGGGATGTAATGCAGGGAGAGAGATGAACCGCTAACTCCTCAGGGGTGAACATCTCCACAGCAGCTAGGGTAGCCGGCCTCAGCTCTGCAGCATAGCAACGTGTCGGTAACCACCCAACATCAAAGGGTTTCCGTTGGGATTTTTATGCCTGTTATGAAAAAAAATCTTACAAGTGGCTTTGAGGTCTAATTGGGGAGATAGGGATAAGTGGATAACACCACGGTGTGTGGAAATAATTCACTTTAAGAGATTCATCTGGGTCATCGGAGCGCAGGGGGGGTAGAAACACCCTTTTCCTACAGCAACAAAGATGTCCGCCGTGGATCTTGGATCGGCTAGACACATCTGATACAACTGACACTTTATCCTATAGGAACCTTCTGATGATGTTTATCATAGGCAATATTACTACAAGACCACTTGAATCAAATTGCCACTTGAATAATTATTTTCACTGTAAACAGGTTAGAGACATTAGAATGACAGTTAAACTTGACTACTCTACTGTAAAAGGTCATGATATCAGTGTGTAGCTCTATGACTCCATTTCCTAGACGTGACCACCACAGCATCATATATTACCCTACACTTTCTATCAGCCCTGGGCCTGCTCCTTGTGTTGCTTCCATCAGCCCTGGGCCTGCTCCTTCTGTTGCCTCCATCAGCCCTAGGCCTGCTCCTTGTGTTGCCTCCCTGACTCCACCAAAGCCCCTTCCAGTGTAATCGGGTAGAGACAGGCAAAGGGCAGTGGAACAAGTGCAACAACAGTGAATGATCACAATGGCACTATGGCTCAAGCGCTAGTTCCAACCATTGACTGGGAGCCAAACTGCTTTGTCTTGATTTACACCAGGTGTAAATCAGGTGTAAATCCCTGCTCCCTCTCTCCATTCTCACTCTCTCCCTGCTCCCTCTCTCCCTGCTCCCTCCCTCCCTGCTCCCTCTCTCTTCTCCCTCTCTCCCCTGATCCCTCTCTCCCCTGCTCCCTCTCTCCCTGATCCATCTCTCTCCTGCTCCCTCTCTCCCTTCTGCCTCTCTCCCTGCTCCCTCCCTCCCTGCTCCCTCCCTCCCCTGCTCCCTCTCTCCCCTGCTCCCTCTCTCCCTGCTCCCTCTCTCCATTCTCCCTCTCTCCCTGCTCCCTCTCTCCCTTCTCCCTCTCTCCCCTGCTCCCTCTCTCCCTGCTCTCCCTCTCTCCCTGCTCCCTCTCTCCCCTCTCCCTCGCTCCCCTCTCCTCCCTCCCTGCTCCCTTCTCCCATTCTCCCTCTCTCCTTCTCCCTCTCCTCCCTCTCTCCTCCCTCTCCCTCTCTCCCTTCTCCCTCTCTCCCTGCTCCTCTCTCTCCCCTGCTCCCTCTCTCTCCCTGCTCCCTCCCTCCCTTCTCCCTCTCTCCCTGCTCCCTCCCTCCCCTGTCTCCCTCCCTCTCCCCTGCTCCCTCTCTCCCCTTCCCCTCTCTCTCCCTTCTCCCTCCTCCACTTCTCCCTCTCCTCCCTTGCTCCCTCTCTCCTTCTCCCTCTCTCCCCTGCTCCCTCTCTCTCCTGCTCCCTCTCTCCCTTCTCCCTCTCTCCCTTCTCCCTCTCCTCCCTGCTCCCTCTCTCCCTCTCTCCCTCTCCCTTGCTCCCCTCTTCTCCCTTCTCCCTCTCTCCCCCTGCTCCCTCTCTCCCCCTCCTCTCCCTCTCTTTCCCTTCTCCCCTCTCTCCTCGTCTCCTCTCTCCTCTCCTCTCCCCTGCTCCCTCCTCCTCCCTTGCTCTCTCTCTCCCTGTCTCCCTCTCTCCCTTCTGCCCCCTCTCCCTTCTCTCGCCTCTCCCTTCTCCCTCTCTCCCCTGCTCCCTCCCTCTCCTGTCCCCCCTCCCTGCTCCCTCTCTCCCTGCTCCCTCTTTCCACTGCTCCCTCTCTCCCTGCTCCCTCTCCATCTTAACTTAAATACATTCTGTTCGGCACAAGCAGCAAGCAACCCCCCCGGAACAAAGTCAAGCCTTTACAAAGTAGCTTAAATAGGCATTTCCGTAGCAAACAGCGATAATTGCTGGATGCTTAAAGGCCCGCTGTCAGAGGGGAATCTGGCACGGGCACAAACAGCTAAGTCAAAACGATCAAGTGACTAAATCTCTGTACAAAGGGTGTCTAACAGCACAATGGCAGAGTGTTGCTATTTAAAGTCTCAGACTGGGGAGGACTAGGAGATACCAACCAAGCCAGCTGTTTGGGGGTGGGGCTGGGGTGGGAGGGGTTATCTTAGGTGATACATTATGATTATAAGACATATCAACACTGAGGGAAGAAAAGCTAGTCTAGGAACTATCCATCAGAAAGACCCAAATGTCCCCTTCATTGTTGTCCTCATCATCCTCCCCATGTTACAGTGTACATTCACATCAGTTCAATGACTGGATTGATCAATAAGGCAATAAGCTGAATTTTTAACTCTAACTTGGAGCATTGGAAGTCAGCCCTTATAGAGAGAGACAGGCTGATAATGGCTATTAACAGCCGGACCACCAGGTCATATAGCCAGGGCTCTGCAGCCCTCGCCTGGATACCCATCCACAAACGCCACGCGCGCTAACGTCTCTTCTCCACCATGAGTCTGGATTTGCTTTCCATCCCGATGACTTCCAGAATGTGAACACATTCTGACCGTTCTGATTGGTCCCAGGAACTGATGGGTTGGACCAGAGCTAGCCTACACCAATCATGAATCACATAATTTTGACGTCAGCACAAATAACGTTTAGGATGGTAGGTATGGAGCGATCGATAGAGCAGCGGAATTAAATTTAATTAAATCCAGGATGAGTCATCAGACAACTGCAACCATGCCACACATGGGTGTGCTATGCTATACTGTGTTCCACTCTGTGAATCTGAAGCACTAAACCCGTTCACCACAGGATGTCAGTAGCTGGAGAAAAGAGAGAGAGAGAGAGAGAGAGAGAGAGAGAGAGAGAGACGAGAGAGAGAGATAGCGAGGAGAGCAGAGAGAGAGAGAGAGATAGGAGAGAGAGAGAGAGAGAGAAGAGAGAAGAGATAGAGAGAGGAGCATGAGATCGAAGAGAGATAGAGAGAGAGAGAGAAGATATAGAGAGAGAGGATAGAGAGGAGAGAGAGAGAGAGAGAGAGAGAGAGAGACAGAGACAGAGACAGAGACAGAGACCGAGACAGAGACAGAGACAGAGACAGAGACAGAGACAGAGAGAGAGTGAGAGAGTGAAGAAAGATATCCTCTCCTCCCTTTTTGGTGTGCAGTCCGTGCTTACTGTACCTTTTGCATCACTGCATGGAATCACTATATAACCGTATTCACAGAAACATGTAGCTAACGTCGAATCTTGACAGTGCATTATACATGCCAGGAGGTAAAAAACTGTCCCTCACAGACAGGCTTTGATAACAGAGGTCTGGAGCTGGAGGGGAGGAGAGCAGAATAAGACACGGTCCTGTGCCCAGCCTGTTCATTGTCTGGAAGTGCGCGTAGTTTTCTGGGACCCGTGTGTGATGCAGGGGGTTTTTGTTGGAGCTAAAAATGCCCTCTGGCCGGTTTCCCCTCTTCCTCTCCCCTCTCTCTTCTCCATTTTCCCCCCCTTTTTTTTCTCCCCCTCTTCTCCCCTCCTCCTCTTCCCCCTTCTCCTCCCCCGTTTTTCTCTCCTCTCTCCCTTTTTTTTTCTTCTATTTTTCTTTCTTTTTCCCCCCTCTTTTCTCTCTTTTTTTCCCCCCCTCTTCTCCCCCCCCCCTCCCTCTCTCTTCCCCCTTCTCTTTTCTCTCCTCTCTCCTCTCTCTCTCCCCTCTTCCCTCTCGTCCTTTTTCTCTTCTCTTCCCCCTCCTGTCTCCTTCCCGTCTTCCCCTCCCCTCCCTCTTTCTCTTTCTCTTTCTCTTTCCTCTTTCTTCTTCTTTTCTCTTTCCTCTTTTCTTCTTTTTTTTCCCTCTTCTCTTTCTCTTTCCTCTCCCTCTCCCTCTCCCTCTCCCCTCTCCCTCTCCCTCTCTGCTGTTAGTGTGCATGAGAACATAAGACATCCCCCGTTACACATTCAGACCCAGTGATCTGTCACAGAGAAAATTCTAAATCCACAGAGGCAGAAGAAAACCAAGCATGAATGCCATATGGATATATGACCACATGGTATACATGAAGAAATACAAAGAGTAGATCTAATCTTTAATCTCTTGTCTACTAAAAATACTTCTATTTTTTTTTAAGGGCTTGTTCAAATAAATCAGATATAATACAATAACATTTCTAAATCGTGGGTAAAATCTCTATTTAAAAAAAATATATACATCACATTCACAAATATTTGTTTAAATGACCTCACTTACTGACAGCTCAATGAGTCACCACAGACACATGTCAACGCGCCTTTAAAAGTGTGTATGTTAATTACTTGGTTAGATATGCACTAGTGTCTGTAAATACTACAGACATTCCACAGGGACCTCTGCAAGACTGACTGGTAGCATGTTCCATGGGAATTCTCTCACACAGAAAAGACTGGAGGATATTAGTATGCTCTAGAAAACTGGAATTCACAGTTCAAATAAAAACAGGCATCCTTGGTAATCTGCGTATTCGGTGAACACATTTAGTAGGGGTTTCTGGTTATTCTATGTGCACAAGACTGACTCACATAAGCAGCTGCTGTAAGTATAAGTGAGAGAGAGAGAGACAGAGAGAGAGAGAGAGAGAGAGAGAGAGAGAGAGAGAGAGAGAGAGAGAGAGAGAGAAGAGATAGATAGATAGCTAGAGAGATGTTGTGGGGGTGGAGAGAGAGAAGAGAGAGAGAGAGAGAGAGAGAGAGAGAGCGAGAGAGAGGAAATACACACATTCATCATTAATTCAACATTCATTTAAATATTTCAACTGGTCAGTGAACGATTCAGAACGAAACGTTAATATTATAACAGAACCTCAAATGAATTACTGATATCTTTAGATATTTCAAACCCTGCTGTGAATATTTTGACGGTATGATGGCACGTTCAGGTTAGTGGGTGACTATGTACTTTACTTTTCCATTTATATTAACATATTTTACTTTTACTCCGTACATTTTCTCTGACAGCCAAAAGTACTAGTTTCATTTAGAATGCTCAGGAAGGACAGCAATATGGTCTGATTCACACACCTTTCAATATAATGCATTGTCATCCCTTACCGCCTCTGATATGGCAGACTCACTAAACACAAATACTGCGTTTGTAAATTAAAGTATGTCTGAGTGTTGGAGTGTGCCCCTGGCTATCCATAAATAAAATAAAATAACAAATTGTGCTGCCTAGTTTGATTAATATACGTAATTTGATGTATAGCATTTGCTTTTATTTTAACTTGTTTTGTGTTTTTACTCAAGAATGACAATTGAGTACTTTTTCCACCACTGTACTTAAGTACATTTAAAACCAGATACTTTTAGACTTTTACTCAAGTGGTATTTTACTGGGTGACTTTCACTTTTACCTGAGTCATTTTCTATTAAGGTATCTTTACTTTTACTCAAGTATGACAACTGGGTACTTTTTCCACCACTGTGTGAGTGTGTGTGTGTGTGTGTTTTCCAGCATGTGTGCTCGCATGTGTTGGCAGAAGACGTGATTTGCCAGCACTGTTTGCTGTAGAGACTTTCATAAAGCCCATGTACGTTGATTTATTGCGCAGCATTCATTAGGAAGCTGACGCTTCACAATTTATGCAAAAGTAGGTCACAGAGTATCGATCAGGAGCCCTGATCTGGAACATAGTGTGTGTATGTTTGTGTGTGTGTTTCCCTCCTCAACAAGCCCAGAGGAAAATACTGTAACTAAGCCACTCTTAATGCACTCACAATCCCCTCTCAACAAACCCTCACATACACCCTCTCAACAAACCCTCACACACACCCTCTCAACAGACCCTCACACACACCCTCTCAACAAACCCTCACAATCCCCTCTCAACATACCCTCACACAATCCCCTCTCAACAAACCCTCACACAAACCCTCTCAACAAACCCTCACACACACCCGCGCCAACAAACCGCACACACACCCCGCAACAAACCCGCACACAAAACCGCCAACAAACCCGCACAAGCCCCACTCAACAAACCCCACAAGCCCCCGCAACAAACCCCACACACACACCCGCGCAACAGACCAGCACACACACCCGCCAACAAACCCGCACACACACCGCGCAACAAACCCCACACACACCCGCGCAACAGACGCTCACACACACCCGCCAACAAACCCGCACCCACACCCTCGCAACAAACCCGCACAATCCCCTCTCAACAAACCCTCACACACACCACCCTCTCAACATACCAGAAACACACACCCTCTCAACAAACCCTCACACACACCCTCTCAACATACTCTCACACACACCCTCTCCAACAAACCCTCACCCACACCCTTTCAACAAACCCTCACAATCCCCTCTCAACAAACCCTCACACCACACCCTCTCAACATACCCTCACAATCCCCTCTCAACAAACCCTCACAATCCCCTCTAAACAAACCCTCACACACACCCTCTCAACAAACTCTCACACACACCCTCTCAACAAACCCTCACACACACCCTCTCAACAAACCCTCACACACACCCTCTCAACATACCCTCACACACACCCTCTCAACATACCGCACACACACTAATTGCACACATGAAACCCTCTACGTTCACAGGGGAGAGACCAGACCAGAGGTATCATAGCATTCCTTAAAGAAGTCAGATACCAAATCAAATAAATAAATAGTATCTTTCCAAACTGTTATTAATAGTTAAGGTATTTCCATCCCATCCATCCATGTCAGATCTAAATATGGCGGTGGCCATCAAATAATAACAATGATAATAATGTATAGTCTCCTCCTTCCCTCTGAGGTGTATAGTCTCCTCCTTCCCTCTGATCCTCCTTCCCTTTGAGGTGTATAGTCTCCTCCTTCCCTCTGAGATGTATAGTCTCCTCCTTCCCTCTGAGGTGTATAGTCGCCGCCTTCCCTCTGATCCTCCTTCCCTCTGAGGTGTATAGTCTCCTCCCTCCCTCTGAGGTGTATAGTCTCCTCCTTCCCTCTGAGGTGTATAGACTCCTTCTTCCCTCTGATCCTCCTTCCCTCTGAGGTGTATAGGCTCCTCCTTCCCTCTGAGGTGTATAGGCTCCTCCTTCCCTCTGAGGTGTATAGTCTCCTCCTTCCCTCTGAGGTGTATAGGCTCCTCCTTCCCTCTGAGGTGTATAGGCTCCTCCTTCCCTCTGAGGTGTATAGTCTCCTCCTTCCCTCTGAGGTGTATAGGCTCCTCCTTCCCTCTGAGGTGTATAGGCTCCTCCTTCCCTCTGAGGTGTATAGGCTCCTCCTTCCCTCTGAGGTGTATAGTCTCCTCCTTCCCTCTGAGGTGTATATTCTCCTCCTTCCCTCTGAGGTGTATAGTCTCCTCCTTCCCTCTGAGGTGTATAGTCTCCTCCTTCCCTCTGAGGTGTATAGTCTCCTCCTTCCCTCTGAGGTGTGTGGTCTCCTCCTTCCCTCTGAGGTGTATAGTCTCCTCCTTCCCTCTGAGGTGTGTGGTCTTCTCCTTCCCTCTGAGGTGTATAGGCTCCTCCTTCCCTCTGAGGTGTATAGGCTCCTCCTTCCCTCTGAGGTGTATAGTCTCCACCTTCCCTTTGAGGTATATAGTCTCCTCCTTCCCTCTGAGGTGTGTGGTCTCCTCCTTCCCTCTGAGGTGTATAGGCTCCTCCTTCCCTCTGAGGTGTATAGTCTCCTCCTTCCCTCTGAGGTGTATAGTCTCCTCCTTCCCTCTGAGGTGTATAGTCTCCTCCTTCCCTCTGACCTCCTTCCCTCTGAGGTGTATAGGCTCCTCCTTCCCTCTGAGGTGTATAGTCTCCTCCTTCCCTCTGAGGTGTTTAGTCTCCTCCTTCCCTCTGAGGTGTATAGTCTCCTCCTTCCCTCTGAACCTCCTTCCCTCTGAGGTATATAGACTCCTCCTTCCCTTTGAGGTATATAGTCTCCTCCATCCCTCTGAGGTGTGTGGTCTCCTCCTTCCCTCTGAGGTGTATAGTCTCCTCCTTCCCTCTGAGGTATATAGTCTCCTCCATCCCTCTGAGGTGTATAGTCTCCTCCATCCCTCTGAGGTGTATAGTCTCCTCCTTCCCTCTGAGGTATATAGTCTCCTTCATCCCTCTGAGGTGTATAGTCTCCTCCTTCCCTCTGAGGTGTATAGTCTCCTCCTTCCCTCTGATCCTCCTTCCCTCTGAGGTGTATAGGCTCCTCCTTCCCTCTGAGGTATATAGGCTCCTCCTTCCCTCTGAGGTGTATAGTCTCCTCCATCCCTCTGAGGTGTATAGTCTCCTCCATCCCTCTGAGGTGTATAGTCTCCTCCTTCCCTCTGAGGTGTATAGTCTCCTCCTTCCCTCTGAAGTGTATAGGCTCCTCCTTTCCTCTGAGGTTTATAGTCTCCTCCTTCCCTCTGAGGTGTATAGTCTCCTCCTTCCCTCTGAGGTGTGTTGTCTCCTCCTTCCCTCTGAGGTGTATAGTCTCTTCCTTCCCCTTGAGGTGTATAGGCTCCTCCTTCCCTCTGAGGTGTATAGTCTCCTCCTTCCCTCTGAGATATATAGTATCCTCCTTCCCTCTGAGGTGTATAGTCTCCTCCTTCCCTCTGAGGTGTATAGTCTCCTCCTTCCCTCTGAGGTGTATAGTCTCCTCCTTCCCTCTGAGGTGTATAGTCTCCTCCATCCCTCTGAGGTGTATAGTCTCCTCCTTCCCTCTGAGATATATAGTATCCTCCTTCCCTCTGAGGTGTATAGTCTCCTCCTTCCCTCTGAGGTGTATAGTCTCCTCCTTCCCTCTGAGGTGTATAGTCTCCTCCTTCCCTCTGAGGTGTATAGGCTCCTCCTTCCCTCTGAGGTATATAGTCGTTTATCTCTATGTCCTCTTTTTTATTGTGTTATTTGGCTGTTTTGGATTCAAGTTAACATGTGACCTGTTCCACATGGAGGGTATTGCTATTAGAGGAGGTGAGGAGTGTGTTTGTGTGTGTGTGTGTGTGTGTGTGTGTGTGTGTGTGTGTGTGTGTGTGTGTGTGTGTGTGTGTGTGTGTGTGTGTGTGTGTGAAACCAAATCTAATTGTATTTGTCACATGCTTCGTAAACAACAGGTGTAGACTAACAGTGAAATACTTACTTACGGGTCCTTTTCCAACAATGCAGAGTTAAAGATAAAGATAGCCATGATAGCCAGGCAACGTTAAGCCGCTTCGCCAGTTACCACAGTCCCTAATGAATGAATAGAATGTTCAAAGCTAATGAGGGTTCCGAGGGCACAGACAACATTCCAATCAAATGGCGAGGTTTTGAAAGGGAAAGTATCTGCTGTGTATTAGCACAGGTTAATGGGACCCGGAGTAATTACAATAACCCGCTAATTGGACAGAGCTGTTCCATTTTCAACGCCTTAATCACCTGGTGTGATTTCTCAGTGGCGGCTTTAATTCGGTCAAACTGCCGGAGCGATCTTGTATCCATGTAAGCAACAAATTACAATGGACTGATTTCAATCTCTTTCCCAGTGATCAAACGTGTTCAGAAATGAGTGAGAGAGTTCTGCCTCCTCCGATGGAAGACGCTGCTGGGCTTCCATTTTAGATTAGAATGGGCTAATCAGGTTATCCAAGACCATATCTCTCTTAAAGTCCGCTCTGCTCTGACGAAAGTCATGCATGAAATGAACAGTGTAAGTTGCATACTCATCTATCTTTAAAAAAGGTCAACCCTAAAGACGAAAATCCTATATTCAACTACTAGAAGAAAAGAACAAGCAGGATTTGATCAGCGGCAGAAGACAGAGATTCAAGGATAAGGCAAGGAGATGAATTGAATAAGAAATCAAAATGGCACCCACCTCGTCCTGAAGTTCACCGGATGAGGATGTCCATCATAAAGCGATAAAAAGTCATACTCTTCCTCCACAGCGAAAGACTGAAAGACAATTTGAATTCGGTTCCCCTCCTCTGCTACAATAACCCATGTACAGTTAGCCCCATTGGGGTACCCATATGGAAAACCTGGGCTTTCAACGGTGCCGTTCCGCCCTTTTAATGTCCCACCACACGTATATATGAAACCTGGAGAGGAGAGAAGAGAAGAAGACAACAGATTTACATTATTTGTAGGCGTCTATATAATTGATTCATAGTGCAGATAACAAGCAACACACAGATGTAGCCAGTGAGGTATAGTTTTCATAATTATGCTAAAAGAGAATTGACAAAAAGCAGAGTAAATAAAACACTTTTACACACAAAAACATATACAGTGGATAAACTAAAACCAGCTACAGTGTTCCTCTGTAGCTCAGTTGGAAGACCATGCCTCTTGCAACGCCAGGACAGTGAGTTCGATTCCAGGGACCACCCATATCATTCAACATTTAAGCACAGTTGACTGTAAGCCCACTGCGGATAAACATGTCTGCTAAGTTTCATATATTACAGTCTGATATACCACGGCTGTCAGCCAATCAGCATTCAGTCCTCAAACCACCCACTTTATATTACAGTATGTATAGTAATACAACCCTTTAGAAATGATACTGTAGCATGGCAGGTGTCTCATCTAAAAGCATAAAGATACAGATAAAACATAGTGCAACCCTTTCTAGAAACCCTACTGCACTACTATATATGTAGCAGGTGCCTGGTCGTGGGTCTAGCAGTGTGCTCTTGCTGTTTACAGACACACAGACACACAGACTCCATGTCCTGCATGGGGAGAGCCAGCGGGATGCCACAATCACGCCCCAGCATGCCATCTCTAGAATATCAGTCTCAGCTAGATGCATGTCCAATGCCATGCTGTGTGCTGTGTTTTACTTTGGGAGGGAGACCTGCTCTGCTATTTACACATAGAGAACTTACACAACACCACTACGGCATCGCTGCATTGCCTAAACACTGCTCATGGTTCCTCTAGGCTTAAAGTAAAGGACCCTTATGATTCAATATTACACTTCTTGGAGACTGTGTACAATATTTGTGGGGGCGTGTGGGGAGTGTGGATTGGAATGGAAGCCTGGGTCAGAATAACCCTGGGTCAGAATAACCCTGGATCAGAAGAATCCTGGATGAGAATAACCCTGGATCAGAATAACCCTTGATCAGAAGAATCCTGGATCAGAAGAATCCCAAAATGGCAGAAGCACTTTTGCCAGCCCCGTGGCAGTCGTGGTATGATGGCTCCAGAACGGCTGACCTCCAGATGATCTATACACACTCCATGCCTCCATGTCCTGGATGGACCCTGGTTTTGTTTCGGCTCCATTGTCAGCAAGAGCCTCCCATTCACACTGAGTTCAATGGAAAATACTCCATGAAAGGCTCGCATTGACATTTTTAATTAGAGATATTCTCAATCAAAACAGTGACCTATACACATTTATTAACGGGAATGTTGTATTATATTCTAAAGAATTAATGGTATTATATGCTAGGTCTATTAATGGTATTATATTCTAGATAATTAACGGTATTATATTCTAGATAATTAATGGTATTATATTATAGGTTTATTAATGGTATTATATTATAGGTTTATTACTGGTATTATATTCTAGATAATTAATGGTATTATATTCAAGGTTTATTAATGGTATTATATTCTAGGTATGTTAATGGTATTATATTCTAGATAATTAATGGTATTATATTCTAGGTTTATTAATGGTATTATATTCTAGGTTTATTAATGGTATTATATTCTAGATAATTAATGGTATTATATTCTAGGTTTATTAATGGTATTATATTCTAGGTTTATTAATGGTATTATTATTCTAGGTTTATTAATGGTATTATATTCTAGGTCTATTAATGGTATTATATTCTAGATAATTAATGGTATTATATTCTAGATAAGTAATGGTATTATATTCTAGATAATTAATGGTATTATATTCTAGATAATTAATGGTATTATATTCTAGGTTTAGTAATGGTATTATATTATAGTTAATGAATGGTATTATATTCTAGGTATACTGTACAGTACACACAGATATCCCCATTGGCTGGGTGGTGCTATTAAATTCACATAAATCGCTTCTGAATATTATGCTCCCCGACATAAGAAAGGACAGAATCAATTTTAACCCTGTCCAATATCATTTCAGGGAAACATACATTTGCTGGAGGTAAAGTATGTATGTGATCTGCTAAAGGTTGCACTTAGTATCACACAGTAGTAGTGGTATCCTTGCAGTGCATCGGTTTCTCTTGGCATTGAGTAAGTAATATACTCAAGTAGTCATTTATTATCCACACCGTGAGAGAAATAGATCAGGGAGCCATCTGGAGAGATAGCTGCTGAAAACACTGCCTTTCTCTGACTGTCTCCTACTGCTACCAATGACATCACACACACACACACACACACACACACACACACACACACACACACACACACACACACACACACCAAAGCACATCCAATCTTCCCATTAGATCCGTGTTACTGTTTGTGAACACAGATGAGTGCATCCACTGGTTACATATGGAACACACACACATACAACATAAAAACAAATACAACATAAAAACAAACATGCACAAACACACACACACACACACCAAAGCACACCCGTCTTCACATTAGATCCGTCTGCTGTGTTATCAGACATGCTCAGACATACCCAGACATACCCAGACATGCCCAGAGATGCCCAGAGATGCCCAGACATGCCCAGACATGCTCAGACATGCTCAGACATGCCCAGAGATGCCCAGAGATTCCCAGACATGCTCAGACATGCTCAGACATGCCCAGAGATACTCAGACATGCCCAGACATGCCCAGACACGCTCAGACATGCCCAGACATGCCCAGACATGCTCAGACATGCTCTTAGTATGGTACGCGGTACATGAGATTGGTGGCACCTTAATTGGGGAGGACAGGCTCATGGTAATGGTTGGAACGGAATAAATTTAATGGTATCTTCTATGAGCCGCCCTCCCCTCAGCAGCCTCCTGTGGTACACGGCATGCACGCATGGCTAACTGTCTGCTTCTTGCTCTCCCTGGTTTCTCCTGGTCTTGTCCGTGATTAGCTGTGAAGGGCCAATGTGGCTCACAGCTCTAATTGCACCACATACTGTATTGCCACGGGACAGATGGGACATGACAGATGAGAATATGAAGTCACAGACTGCATCCCAAATGGCACCCTATACCCTATTTAGTGCACTACTTTTGACCCAGGCCCATAGTGCTTGGGTCAAAAGCAGTGTTTTATATAGGGAATACGGTGCCATTTGGGACGCAGCCACAGACATCCAGTAACAACTGTTGAGTGGTAATAGGTCTGGACGCAATCAACAGAGGAGTGTGTGGGGGGTAAAGTCGTTGAGGATTGCGTGGGACTCAAACATTGGGGGAGCTAGCGTTTGTTGACATGTTTTGTCATTGGAATCATTAGCTAGCCTGAGAAGGTGAAAAGCTGCCATTGCTGGGAGGACATCACTATAGCAAACAGTACAAGATTGCCACAAGCCTGCTTAAAATTAGCAATTGTATTTAACTTTACAAAAGTACAGGCATAGCAATTCTTGAAAATAATATGCTGCACATAATCATCACTTCTCATTTAATTGAGCAAATGAAATGCTGAGTATTATGAAATAGTCTATTAAGACCAGAGAGCAAGAGAGAGCGCGAGAGAGAGAGAGAGAGAGAGCAGGATGGACAGTTCAGTTATTGCAGTTGATTGTGTTAATGCCCAATTGGTTAAACTAAAGCCTTTTAAGCACATCCCTCTCCCCCTTTCTTCATATTGCCACGGTAACAGGAGATAATTGACATGCTTATTTTCTTCACTGCTGACATTGACAAGCAGAAAAAAAGCCAGCCAGCCAGTCAGCCAATCAGCCAGCCAGCCAGTCAGCCAGCCAGCCAGCCAGCCAGCCAGTCAGCCAGTCAGTCAGCCAGCAAGTCAGCCAGTCAGCCAGTCAGCCAGTCAGCCAGTCAGCCAGCCAGTCAACCAGCCAGCCAGCCAGTCAGCCAGCCAGCCAGCCAGCCAGCCAGCCAGCCAATCAGCCAGTCAGCCAGCCAGTCAGCCAGTCAGCCAGCCAGTCAGCCAGACAGCCAGCCAGCCAGCCAGCCAGCCAGTCGGCCAGTCAGCCAGCCAGCCAGTCAGCCAGCCAGCCAGCCAGCCAGTCAGCCAGCCAGACAGCCAGCCAGTCAGCCAGCCAGCCAGTCAGCCAGCCAGCCAGCCAGCCAGTCAGCCAGCCAGCCAGCCAGTCAGCCAGCCAGTCAGAGTCCGTCCCCCATCTGTTTGCAGAGAACTCACAGATAAAACACAAACAGCCCATAACGTCGTATGCACCAAATTAAGATGTACTATTATCCTCCCCACCACTCCCCTTAAGGGGTAATTAATGTAAGGGTGGAGAGAGGAGGGTTTTTTAAGCCACCACCGACTGTGTGGACGCTTTGGAGCTAGCTAGCTAGCTAGCAACATGTCTTAACAAAAGTCTGCACTATGCAAGCAATCATTTCGGGTGCGTTCGTAAATTCAGTCTGGCCATCTACTCCGATTTCAGTGTGCCAGAGCGCAGAATAATTGATGAATTTACGAATGCTTAACACCCATGGAATATGGTCGGTGTCAGTAAACGTCGGCAAAAAAGTGTAATTCAATTGTTGCCAGCAGCACAGTTACAGTCACCAACGCTCTGGATAACATGAAAACAGCCTAACCAGCTCTGCTAGGGTGAGTACAATGGTCAGAGTGGGGTGTTCTGTCATTATGTGTCTGGAAGTAGTTAGCCAGTTAGCTTGGGTGCTTGACTACCGTTGTGAGGTCAGAACGTTCGGATCAACCCTACTCATCGGCCAGAGTGTCCGGTGTGTGCTCTGAATTCTCCGAGAGAGACACGTTTTGAATTTACTAACAGACAATCTGACAGCACAGTTGCAGTCACCAACGCTCTGGATAACATAACAGCCTAACCAGCTCTGCTAGGGCGAGTAATGTTCAATGAGCTGTGTCTGGAAGTAGCTAGCAAGTTAGCTTGGGTAATTTACTTCTGTTGTTAGTAGAGAACGCTCCGATCAACCGTTAAAGAGAAGGGGTAGAGTTTAAGAGGGTGTGAACGATGGAGACAAAAAAGGGCTCTCCAGTAGTAGTACCAAAACATTCAAAGGCCATTTTCTCAAAAGTGTGGTTACAAGTTGATCAACTTTCAAAGCAAAATTACTTTCCCATTGTTCATCAACTGTAGTGTATGATATACTACTTTTATCCAATGTAAAAAACAAAATTTCAAATTTTGCTACATAAGACCGATTTGAGCCGGTCGGTCACAATTGGTTGACGGTAGGTGGAGGCGTTGCCTTCTGTATAAATACAAACTCACTTCCTTGACAACTTCCTTCACAATAGCTCTGCTCTGCTCCGTTAAGCACAAAAAGTATGAAAGCCCTGAAGTCTGCAGAGGCTGCATTGAAGTAAATGCTGCACGGCCACTTCAGATGCGGATTGACTATGGAAAGCCTTTTAGGCACTGCTTCTATTGGAGATTCTCTCTCTCTCTCTCTCTCTCTCTCTCTCTCTCTCTCTCTCTCTCTCTCTCTCTCTCTCTCTCTCTCTCTCTCTCTCTCTCTCTCTCTCTCTCTCTCTCTCTCTCTCTCTCTCTCTCTCTCTCGCTCTCTCTCTCTCTCTCGCTCTCTCTGTGTGTGTGTGTTTACTAGTCCTGGTTAGAAACAGGGAGATTATATTGAATCTATATTTTACTGCATCCCTTGAACAACGT